TGTGACATAATTAGTTTCCAAACTCATTGTGCAAAAACCTGTAAGTAAACCTTCTGATAATGGAAGATAGCAACTTCTGATTTGAAGGGCTAAGTTAGGTGTTCTCCCAGGCTGGAATCCTCATTAGGATACACTTTATAGATGCATCTGATTTTTCATCTTTGAGATTAAATGCTATATTACACAAATTTATTCTCTTATAGACCAAATGGTAATGTTTGGTAGTGCTACATTCTGTATTTATTGTTTGAGGGAAATTACACATTTCCCTCAAATGTCTTGGAATTTTCATATCTGAAATGAAGTGTAATATATCTATCCTGAGAATAGCTTCCCAATAGCTTGTATTTGGTTTGTTAGGAAACCCGAGGCTAGCAGTACCAGACTATTTTTTTGAACTCCATTATATTACATTATATACAATTTTCTGTCTCCTGATGGAAAGTCGTAACACCTAAAATAGAGCATTCATTAACTGATGCTTATAGGAAATAACGTTCTGTTCCTCTGCGAGATTGGCTGTCCTTGATAGTTTCTTTCCTAAAACAGCAGTGAAAGAACGAAAAATGGGTTTGCTGCTTCCTAAAACCATATTCAACTTTCCTTACTTTCTGAACACGTGTGGAAATATTATTGTAATTATTGTAATGCATTGATAAGTACAAATTCCTGGTTCCAGAGGGCAATTGTCAAAAAGTTAGTTTTCTAAATGGGAGATGGGATGGGGGGGAAAAAAAGAGGGACACTGTTGATAGCAAAAATATTCAAGGAGAAAGAAGAGAAACATTAAATACTGTACACGTAGAAGTCGGATTATCATCTGATTTAAGACAACATGAGTCTGGTGAGCTCCAGTATCTGGGGCATCCAGACCCTTCCCTAGTTTAGACAGGAATGTTTTGACAGCTTTCCTGATTAGAGATAACACTGATGCTGTGCAAGTGGAGCTCCCTGCACTGCACCTGGGACAGGGCATAGGCACTCACAGCTCATCAGGCATAAGCTTTTCCTCTGTGCTGCCTGCCTGTTCTACACAGGAGTGTGCCGAACACTGGTTTGGGCTGGAGCTTTGCTAGTCAGCCTGGTGGGTCGTGAGAGGCTGTCTCCACCAGTGCCAAATCCATGTTCTGAGTGCTTAGGGCAACAATCCTTGTGTTTCCTTACTGTACTTACATGGTCCTTGCTGTACTGCTGCTCCACGGGATTTACAAGCTGTGAGTAAACTGTATCATGAAGTGAGAAAAAAGTATTTCACATCTTTTAATAATCCAATTATATGCCGCAAGTACTTGACTATGAAAGGATGAAACCCTGCCACATTTACAAATCTGATATAATTTATGATGCTCTCAAGTGATACCCATCTGTATTTATCACTTAAGCTTAGGAGATGTTTTTGCAGCATAAAACATGTAAGTGCATTGGAAATCTTTGCATTTATAACAGTGATGTGCAAACAGAGCTGTTCTTATTCCATCCAGTCTGGGAAGGGCACAGCATCATCAGAAAATAATTGCTCTCATGCTCACGGTCTGGATCACTTCTCATCGTAAGGGCTGTAAATCAATGCTAGACACTAAAAAGCAAACAATTTATTCTGGAGGAAAAAATGGTTTTAAGTGGCTAAAGAATTTGTCCCTTCGGAATGGCATATTGAACAAATACCTGCTTTCTGTAGGACACTGACTGTTGGGTTCTGTGTTTCCAGGTTGTACGTGCCTCCAGGTATTGTGTGTTCTGAAGAAAATAAAACACTAGAAATATTTTCTCCGGATAAACATTTATGATATCCAGAGGGCAGATTCTATCTAAACAATACAGGCCTAGTTCATCTCTGCCCAAAGTTTCTATGTGTAAATCAGTGAAGTACTCGTGTGAGCCAGGCACAGGCTGAGCTGGTAAGAGGAATAAGAAGCTGCATATTGGGAAAGCAGCAGCGGTGTGTCTTTGGCCGTATTCAGGCATGTTTATAGCTGAGAATAGCTAGAAAGCAGGCTTTTATGTTGAGATATTCTTGCTACCTGAAGAAACAATTTCTCAGTCATGTATCCCACTATATCACTTCAGTGGACAAATTTATTAGACTTTTAATGTTTTCTTGATTCCTATTGTTTTTCTCATTGAAATTTAATGAAAAAATAAATACAAAAGCAAGTTACTGTTATATTAGTCAGATACAGGGGTGCTTCCTTTCTGGAGGCTGAATATCCAAGGCTAGATCTGTTCCTCTGATTTACAGACAGAACAGTGTCGCTGCGTGTAACTAAGCAGGCTGAGTACTGCCAGGTTAGTCACACCATTTAAGTTGTGTATATATTGGCTAGATGAAGCATTTTATTGACATTTTCCAGACTTGTTTCTGTCCTCTTTTCCTTTTTTTAAAAAAAAAAAAAAAAAAAGTTTTAATAACTATCAGAGCAGCTTCTGAGGACCAATGAAGAATAGCTTACTTTTTGATCTTAAAAATTATTGTAGGAGTTTTAAACATTCTGATGCAGAATGTAGAAATTTGGCAGTGAGTAATTCTGAAATGAAATTATTCCTCTTTCCATGCTTATGAAAAGCAATTCAGAACTGTGTGACATACAGATCCTTGGCATTCTTGGTGGAGTTTATTACACATTTGCTTTGATTTTCACAGTACTTTTGCCTCAAACAGAGCCCAAACCACATTGATAATACCATACAATTGAGGACTGTAGACATAAAAATGGGGTAAAATTAAGGTTCTAAGGGCAACCTATTTTAGGCATTTCTTAACTTTGAAGTGCCTGATTTTCCAGCTTATTTTGAAACAGTTTTTTTGTGGGGAACCTGATAGAAGGTCATTATGCTATGCACAAAGGGAAAATAATGAAGGAGACTAGCCAAGTGCAATAAGGCTGGTTTTCAAAGGCTTTGAAATATTATTGTTACTGGGCCTATAAATATTGTTTAAAAGCCTTTCAGAAGACAGTTTCCCCCTAGGGGTGCTGTACAAAGCAACAGTGTTCTCCGCTAGAATGTCCTTAATACAAGGCTTTTAGGTATTGTTACTGTCGTTAACGTCTTTATTCTAAAAATACTGAATAAAAACATTTCTGATGTGTCCTCTTCTTCCCCTCTGAGATGTTTTCTTGTCCTGGATCATGCCTAGCGCTGGATGTGGGTGACTGGAGCTGGCTGGCTGTACCACGCACAAGCAATAAGATTAAATCGTGCTAGACAATAAATGAACAGGCTTCATTATTTACCGACTGGCTTAGTTTGATAGGGAGATTTCTGTATTTTCTTTCAATTCCATCTGTATGTGCAGTGTCAGAGCTGTCCAAAATCTCCCTGTGGCTGCTCAAGACACCTTCCCATTCCCATATGCCTCTTTTTTCTCCAAACAAGTGTGCTAAGTACACTGCATTTCTCTGGGGAAGTTGTGTTCAAGCCACAGCCTGCTTTAAGCATCCTCCTTCGGAGAGGGATTTGGTTGCCTGGAAACTGCAGCTGGTCAAACTGGGGGATTTCAGTTCCAGAGGATTTTTTTTTTTTTTCTTTTGGGTTGAAACAAAGACTACAGAATTTCTTCCAAAATCACTGTTTAAAAAATGGTCAGTTGAGCCTTTCATTCTGTTATAATCCAAAAGTTCGATTTTGAGTTTGTTAGAGGATAGAAAACATTTAAATTGAAAGTTATTTTGGTATTCTGCTCCAGAAAGGTTAAACTGGATCATCTTGAGTTCATCAGAACACTTTTGCAGCTTCTGTTTGGAAAACAAAGCTCTTGTAGGAACGTGTTTGCATGACAAGTTCTGGTTTTGACAAAAGATTATTCTCAATTCAAAAATGTTAATTCGGAAATTTTTGCAGGGGGTGTACTTGTTTCTCTAAGTTTGAATTTGGGGTTTCTCTTCACGACAGTGACTTTTTAGTCCCTACCCATTATGTATTCAGCTTAGGAGCACTGCTGTATTTCTTCCCTCTGTCTGTACGGCCTGGCTGGGTTACCCAGCTCGGCGTAGTGTCCGGGTGGGCTGTTGGTGAGCGGCTGTGTGTGAGCGTGTCTCCTTTCTGAACGGCTGGTCACGAGCGTGCACAAGTGCAGCCCCTTTAGTCTGGGGTTACAGATTCTGTAGTTGTACACTTTTAATTCAACAGTCATTGGATCAAAGCAAGGAGCTGGATTAAAAAAAATAAAGTTGTGCTTTACTGAGCTCAAGGTGAAGCTGATGTAAGAGAGATTCTTTATATATATATATAATTATTTTTTTCCTTGAGCTTCGTGATCTCCTTCTTTCCTACCTGCTTACAAGCCCGAGTGAAGAGGAAGTAGTGTGATGTTTGGCACTTCTTTGATATTCTGCTGGTACTGATATTAAATAATGCTGGAGAGTATAGATGGTAGTTTCTGTAAATATACAGTTTCTGTAAATTAACTGCTGGAGAACTTTCAGTAAGATACAGGATGGTTCCTCTTCTTCCCTTTACTCAGTCAGGTAGTTTCATTCTAAATTGTCCCATTGGCGCATTTGTTTATAGCAAGTTTTTTTTTTAATTTTATTTTTTTATTTCTATTACACCACTAAAAGGTTATCAATAAAATTTACCTTTCAGTCTCAAATGTCCATTATAACTTCTATCCATTGTGATTCATGGCAAGTGCCAAGATATCAGGATAGGTCTAGTATCAATTTGATTTTATGAGATTGTCAAACTTTCATAAAATGGTATGATTGTGTTAGCTGATTGACAGCAGAAAACTCACATTTTGGAGACATAACTTTGCTCGTCTTTTCATTTTTAAGTTATTTTCATTTCTCTTTGAGCATTTTAATGTTAACTGGTTTGGCTGGGCCTATGTTAAGAGTAGAATGTGTAAATTAAAAAGTAGGCAGCTTGGAGCACAAGCATTACTGTAATGACTTCATTCAAAGCAGTCTTTTCAAAGGAAGTGCTGACCTACTTGCTTTTAATGGGGCCTCTTTAATCATACATAATTAAAAATTCTTCTTCTTTTTTTTTTCTTATAGGAACTCACCACGTGAAAACTGTTGTGAATCAAAATGGTCACTACCTAGAAGTTACAAGAAGTTACGCAGCTACAAGAATAAATAGCAAGTAGATACTCCCTTTTTTCCTTAATAAATATTAATATTCTTGTAATCGGGGCTGTTTAATTGATGCACATGCATAGACTTCATTCTGAAAGGGTGCTAAGCAGCAGTCACTAGATTTTCATTCTAATGTCTAAACAAAAAAGAGGAAAAGAATCATTTGAATGAATTAACTGACAATGCACTACTTAGTAGTGTACAGTGCGTGTCTAGTCTGGAGAGTGCTAAATTGCAAGTTCTTTTAATGCTTACCCATTCATTTTAAAACAAATGTTGCTTTTAGAGTATTCCAGCTGAAATCTACCGAAATAAATGACTGTATTACAGATTTACACAAGTACAGTGGAGAGCAGGTTCCAGCTACACTGTGATTATCATCTGAGGGCTCAGATATTAGGGTATGCTCTCTTCATGAGAAAGAAATGCAAGTGTCTTTATGGCCACCAGTCTACTGGGTCAGCTTTAAATTGTAGATGAAAACTTACTTTTCACTGAATTGTTTCCATCTTGAAATTGAACGTTTTGCCTTGTTTAATAAGCTTTAAATCTACTTGAAAAGGTTATGTTGCAATTAATTAAAATGCAAGTAAACAATGAACAGCAATCTAAATATGTCAGAAGGGTTTGCTGTATTTTTATTGTTATGGCATTTTGAAGTGAAGTAAAAGATTATTTGCAAAGTGGGCATTCAAATGAAAGTGAAGTAGGAAGATACAAAATGAAAAATAAGCAGTATGCAGCACTATTGGAACAACCTCTCTAAAGTCTCTGTTGCTTACTTCTGGTAAGATTAGTGGGATTTTTAATATAACTTCCTTCTTAAAAAATGTAACCTATTTACTGGTTATATATTAGTAAAATGTGGAGCCTCTCTTTGATTTTTTTTTTTTAACCCCATTAAAAAGATTTTTCATTTTTCTAAGTTTTACTATTTGTGAAAGTCAGCCCAAATGTGTTTGGTAATGTCTGGCTCATCTCCAAATTGCTTGATGAAAGGGATGATCTGAAAAAATCCAGGCCGATATTATACTCGTGTAAAAACTTGATAAAGAACCAGTAACAGATGTCAAAATATGTCAAGGCGAGTGCAGTGGGAGTATCACTTGGAACACTGTGAACTTCTGCCTGTGCTTTGGTATGTGAGCAATGAATAAACGAAAATATCGTAACCAAAAGCAGACCTGGAATCTCTGTTAACAACCTTACATTGGCCACTGGGAATACATAGTTGTTTTTCCTCAATTTTTTCCTGAAGATTCAAGAACTGTTTCCTGAGATACATACATGATATTCTTTGTAAAATAAATCTAACAGCATAGATGTGTGTAAATATGTATATATTAAAGTAGCACACTAGGTTCTCCAGAAGTGGAAATTAACGTCACCTTCAGTTAGGAATGTTTGCTTATTTACAGAAGAGAAGGAAACTTGTGTTATGTTCAAGAGATGTAATTAAGGCTGAGGCACATTCTGTAGTACTTTAAAAGTAAAAAAGGTTTAGGCTGCTATGGTTGGATTTTTTATTTTTTTATTTTTTGTGAATCATGCTGAGGAAGCAGATTTTTGCAATAGGTAGGGTGGGATATAAAAACCAATCTTCTCTGAGAGCAAGTCTGTTGTATTAATCAGGTTTTTCCTTAATCCTGCTTCCATGTTAGGAGGAATTCAGAGGCAAAACTGCTTGGATTTAGCAAAAGTAGGATTTCATCAACATCACGGATCTCACTTAAAATGTGTCAACATATTTTTTTGTAACAGTGCTTTTTGTTCTTCTACCAGCTCTCCTGAATTCAGAAAGATGAATGAATGCTACTCCTGGTGTACTTGTCTAAGTGAGAAGGGAATCTGGCCGTGCTGTGCACTGGCACGGGCTTTATGCTAATCTCAGATAGGGCTGGGCTTTTAGAGCAACATCATGGCAGTAAGCACGTTGCCCCCTGTCCTGTGTCAGGTGCTTGATAGAGTAGTAAAAAATACTTTACTGATATGTACTTTATCACATGATGCTATGATACCAGAACATCTGTCAAGGTGATCTGGACTGTAGAAGTTTTGGTATGAACTTTGGTATTATATTATGCATACATTTCATTAGAAATATTATATTTGAAATCAAAATCGAATTGCATCAATATATTAAACATTTAACTGTATGTCCATGATTACTTTTCACAGTACAGAATATACTTTAATTGGTTTCAGTTAACTCATTTGTAATTTGGAAAACAAAAATGGGAGAAATTGCGTTGCAAAGTACAAAACACCTGTTCCAGAACTATAAGGATTCTCTGTCCCAAAATCTTGTTTTATAATAATGAGGAAAGTGAACTGAAAATCAAGAGATTTTTTTAGCAGCTACCTCTTAGCCTCAATGATGCTACTTAATTAGTATAAATTTTACCACTGGATATATAACACTCATCTTTACTGAGAATGTTTTCATGTTTACTCCTTCCAACTCAGTGGTTGCCTTTACTGCTGTCAAATTATGGAGCCATTATCTATCTAAATAGATCTGAGTTCGCCCTGAAATCAATATAATGATGCCAATTTAGGCCAGCTAAGAGCCCTCTCGTTCGTACTGCTTAGACACTGGCTGAATGCAGACACTGGTGCGTGTCTGGTGGAGGGCCACTGAATGATGAAGTGCCTGGAGCATCCTTCCTAGGAGGAGAGGCTGAGCAAGCTGAGCCTGGAGAAGGGCAGGCTCAGGAGGGATACAAATAAATGTGCAGATACCTGAGGGCAGGGAGTGAAGAAGCTGGAGATAGACCCTTCTCAGTGGTGCCCAGAGAGGGGACAAGAGGTGATGAGCACAAACTGAAATGTGAAATCCCATCTGAACATAAGAAAACACATTTTTACTGTGAGGGTAATGAAACTGTGGAACAGTTTGCCCAGAGAGATGTTGAAGTCTCATCTGCAAAGCCACGCAAACCTGACTGCACCTGGTCCTGAGCAGCCTTCTCCAGCTGTCTCTGCTTGGTGCCATGCAGGGGTTGGACCAGGTCATCTTGGATGTCCCTTCCAGCCACAGCCATTCACTGACTCTGACTTCTGACATGTTTTTCCTTCCTTGCAATTTGGCTACAAGGAATGAGTTCTACTTTCCTACCTTAAAAATGTGTAGGAAAGTTAGCTATAGTCAGGAGACATGAAAGTGCTGAGGAATAAGATCGTATTCTGGCATGAGCTGCCACTGGCAGTATAACTCCAAGAGCTTCTATGTGAGTCAGTTTGAAAAATAGTCTAACAGCATTGCAGAGCTGATGCCATTTTAAAGGCAGCCCTCTCTGTTCATCTTATCTGATTTTCACAACTCTAGATATAAAAAAAAGAAAAAAGTTCTATATTATTTAGGAGATTAGTCACAGATTCAAATTATATTTCTGATGTGGATTCGTGTAGATTATCTGTCTCCATATAACTGATAATGCCTTCTAAGTAGTGGCATTAACTAAGTGATTTTGAGATGTTTCCTCAAACGTCTGATAAGCAGTTCTCTCTCCAAGGAGCATTGTCTGTGTCTCATGCAACACATTCAGAAGAAAAATCACAGAACTTTATTATTCATTTGCCATAGACCATGCTGGAAAACTAAAAACTTGGTGTTTGTGGCCTTTCCAAAAGCGAGAGCATTTTGAATTGAATCTGAGTAGAGCTTACCACTGCTAGCACACCGAGTGATCCCTGTTGGAAGATCCATAGTTAACATGCCGATGTTAATAAACCACACATTTGCTGGTTCATCCTCGTGATGAAATAATGTGTAAAGGCAGTAACGAGCAAGGACATCATCTTTGTGTATGTTGTGCTTAATTTCGTGGTTCTGCTAAGTTAAGGTAGACCCTAGTTTAGGTTCCAGCTGCTTTATTCTTTCTGTTATAGAGACACAAGAAAGTCTTGCTAGGACAGGAAGGATTTGTCATCGTAGAAATTAATGTGCAGGTGCTTAGGATTATGAAGCACGTCAGTCAGGGCTGTTTAAAAATACTCATATGTCTTTTTAGAAAATGTGAAGTGATTTCAGTTCTCTGCCTTTAGATCAGCATGCACAAACCCCATCTCCCGAAACGTTAGTTAGTAAGGGCAATTCCACCCCAGGAAAGTGAATAATCAAACCCACTTTCCCTGCCTCACAGTTAGCAGTACTTTGATCCCTTCCTGACCAGGAACTTTCAGTCTGTTTCAAAGAGAGCAGAGTTCCATACATGCTTTCGAGGAAATTCTTGAAGCTGTCAAAATCTGAAGTTGGACAGCTAATTCTGAAATGCAAGTAATTTACCTAAATTATTTGGAAAATGTCAGATTTAAATTTTTAAAAATAGCTGTGAAATATATTAATTTTTGTTTCAATTACTTGGTTATTTGTCACTAAAAGTTCAACATAACATTTGATGTCATTTGAGATTATTTGACATGGCATATGGATGTTATATACATGGAAGTCAAAATATTGTCTTTATTTCATTTTATTTTATTTTTAAACCACTACAAACTGCTACATTTTGCCTTATTTTCTTGGTCAAAGTTTCTCTTGTTTGTGTTATAATGGAACATCTTGACAGTTTGAATCAGAAAATATTAGACACCTTGTGAGTAAATTGGAGGAGCAGCTATTTTCAGTAGTCTAGAATTGTTATCACAGTCTAACACATGGGTGTTAAAAACAGCTGCTCCTCTAATTAGTTCAGAGTGTTTCATTTTTCTACATGACTTGAAATGATAAGTCATGCCATACTGTGCATTGTTACAATAGATACAACGTGAATTAATATAAAATTTACTAAATACATTCTTAAACAAAAGCTTGTCTCCGAAGTTGGTCTTGAAACTTTGAAAACTGATTTTGAATCAGAAGCACTGAGTTTCAGTGACCTCACACAATGTCTTCACAGAATTCAGACAAGAAATTTTGAATGGGGATAAATCTCATTCTGTGTGCTGACTTTCGTGAAACTTAATGGCATCAGGGATGCTAATTAATGCTCAGTCTGGATTTTT